AGCAAATAATAAAATATCAATGTGAATATTTATACAATTTATGTAAAATTAAAAATAATGTTTTAATCTAAATGCCCAAAGTCAATATTGAATCTAACAAAAACAAAAATATTGATCTAAGACCTATTTGTATGAAGGATATTTTGATTAAAATGCAAACACAAACCAAAATCAAACCATATAAAAAATTAACTTGGTAAAATATACAAAAATTCTAACTTATTGATTATTTATGTATTTAATATTAAAAAAAGTCGTTGTTGTAGTAAATAATTATCTATATTAGAAGATTAAACATTTGGAGCAAATTGTTGGACATATACAATGTTATATATAAAAAGAAATAGACTGTTCATTAATAAACATTACACTGTATGCATATGGATTTTATCTTCTTTTGCTCAAATGACTGGTCATCTTTTTCTTGCATCAAATACGTTTATAAAAGAAATCTATTTCTTTTTTTTTGCATCAAATACGTTTGTAAAAGAAATCTATTGATCAGACAAGTTGTAATATGTTATATTTGTATAGAGACAAATACATCATCTCAACAAAGATGTTGGAATGTATTTTTGTGTTTTTTTTCGTTAAAACCTTAAATTGTAAGGAGATAAATAATTAATGGTTGATTATACTATTTTTTATAGAAATTTCAAAAAATACTACTTTTCAAATGCCACTTTATAAAAATGTCATATTTTTACAATCTTTGCAAAAATGCCACTTTTTCAAAATTATTTATTCATTATATCATTTATGTTTTGGTTAACTATGTTGTAATAGGGTTTACTTTTGAGGGTTTAATGAGTTTTAGGGGTCAAAAGATTTTTTAGGGTTTAGAATTTTAAGATTTAGGCTCTAAAAAGTCATAATTAGTGGCATATTTGCAAATGTTGACACAAAAAATGGTATTTTTGCAAATGTTCATTTTTTTACATTTAGCTTTTTAATTTATTTATTAAAAAGAAAAATAAAATAAAATTTTTTTTAATAACTTTGGCAATTAGTTTTAACAATTTAATAACTAATTTTTATGTCCATTAATGTGGCCAAAGATACAACACTGCTGCCGCTATTAAGCTGAAAATATCTTATTTCTTAAATTTCACATCTGTTTATTTATTACACTAGAATATGACTCGTGCGATGCGCGAGTTTTATTTTAGAATTTTGTTAATTATTGTGACGAAAAGTTAAGCTAATCTTGAAACGACCTGACCCAAAAATTTAAAAATTTCCTTTCAGATTATTATCATCACAGATAATAATCCTCAATTGGATCAATACAACATGCGGAAAACATAAAACAATTAAACCAACTCAATCAATTCAATGATCTCATACTTATTAAATCTAGCCGGTTCAATTCAACAATCCAAACAATAACCAATAACCAATAACCAAATCACACACAACTCACAACCTCTCTTGATTCTCTCTCAAATGCTCCTCTTTCTCTGATTTTCGGCCAAAATGAGACCAACACGCGTCTGTTCCAGCCCTTTTATANAAACCCTAGGGTGTCCCCTAAACCGCTCCCCAAACCGGNAAATCAGAAACCGAAACCGTCGGTCTGATTTTACTCCGTGGATCGACACACATGCCAAAAAAAAATCCTCTTTTTGGTTCACGGGCGTTACAAATCTAGTAGTTTTTATATTTATAAATGACAAAACCACCATTGTTTTATAGATATACAATAATATTTGTTTTGAATTGAAAATATGTTGTATGAAAATATATATATGATAGTTCCCATTTGAAAATAAATATGTTTCTTTGAGATTTTGTTATATATATATATATTGTAGTTTTGTGTTTAACCGCTGACTGCTTTATTAATCAGTCACAAAAATACAATATGTTTTGAGACTTTCCAATTTTCACAAAAATAAATATGTTTCTTTGAGATTTTGTACCAATATTCCA